GTTTGGCTTTCCGAAGCCACGGAGTTCCCGAAGCAAAACACTTCAGAAAAAAAGAATCGAGATGAAGCGAGGTGAAGTTCTGACCTGGTCTCGAAGATCCAGGGGTCTCGAACATAGAGTTTCCAAAGCCGAGCTTGCCTTCGGAAGTTGCGAACATGAACTGTTGTTGGGTTTTGTGGCGCTATTGCATGACAGCTTTGTTTGCATCTTGGCAAAAGATGCCGCCATTGCGCGAATCGTTATCCCGCCCCAAGTTTGAGAACTCTGGTGTCGAAACTTGGTGCTTGAGCACGAACGTTTGGCTTTCCTTGCTGGTTGTGGTCCTGGGTGGTTGCAGATGTTTTAGAATCTTAGAAATTCCTGGAGTTCGGACTAGGCGTTCAAAGTCTGTTGAGGTCTGGGCTTGAACTGGTGTTTGAACCGGAGATGAACACATGAGCTTGAACACTTCTCTTTTGATTTTCACTGGTTTCTTCATGTTGATCCTCACATTTGGCTTTCTGCAGCGGAAGACGTTTCTAGTGCTTCTAATGCGTTTTTGAACCCTGCGCGACCAGATGGCTGTCAGTTGATGTCTCTGGTTGTGGGTCTGCCTTCTTTCGAGCAGGCGCTCAGTTATTGGAACCAGTGCATACTGCAGGATCGAAAAATCCATTCTCCAGGATGATGACGTCCGTCGCGCTAAGGCAGACCGAGCATCCATGCCCGCAAGATGATAACGTCCATGCCTGTCGTGATTCTGTCGTTTTCGGGTTTCATTTCTTTTGTAGAAGACCTGGCACAGGGTGTTGTTCATCAACTCGAAAAAGGTTTTGTGTGATCAAGATGCGCGAAGCACGCTTTTTGCCCCGAGGTTTGCAACTATGGTCTGCCAATTAAACTGTTATTGTTGCACAAACGAATTAAACTGTCGAAAGCCAGCACTCGGGTTTCTTAGAACATTTTGACGTGTTTCAATTTTTTGAAATAGATTGAAACACTTGTACAAATTTTAAAGCTGAAAATGGCTTTAAGCGCGTCGTCTCTATGTGTCCGGATTTGTCTTTGTGTTTTGATGGTGCTCCCCCCAAAGAGAATTTATTTATCTATCATCCATCCAAGAAAGGATTGATAAACCACAAGCGATCTTCGCTTCCACGAAGAGGGCGCAGTGGAGGCGCCTCCACCCTTCTTCTCCCGGTGAGGGGGTAGGGGAGCCCGAAGGAAGGATCGGAGGCCCCCGCGAATCGGTGGCGATTGTTTGCGATTTTCAACGAAAAGGCACAAAACCGCACAGTCACCCGAGGCTCAGCGACGTGACAACATAAGAGTCAAAAAGGTTCAATAAGATTTATCAAGATTCAGTAAGGTTTTCCCGGAAGATGCCATAAGAATTACTAAGTGTCAATGAGATTTGCCGGACCTTTTTTGGCAAAGAGCAGCGCTTTTAGTCGACAAAGCTTCCAGATCCAGAAGCGGCCTCGTGACAACATGATGGTTTAGACACTTTAGGCCTTAGACTTCGAAGCCTCGGTCGTCTAAGCCCTCTGTTTCTGGATCAGTTAAGGATTCTGCCGATCGTGGCATGAGGTGGGGGATGGCCAGAGCTGTGTCTGCCCACGCCCGGGCAAATGTCTGGCTCAATCACCCTACTGTGGATTGAGCTGTTTTCCCCACATTCGGGCTCTCCCTCGAAACAAACTTGACCAGACTGAGCCGGGTTTTATATCTTTTTGCTTTTTCCAAACGGAGACTGAGTATACACCATAGGGGCGACGTCGTGATTCGTTTTTTGGGATGGAGTTTGGAGCAGAAGACACTGACCAAACGCCGCCATTACACCACCGAAGACCCCAAGCAGTTCCATATATATGTATATATACATATAAGTATACGGGCATTGAACTGGCTTAAGTGGGAAACTACTAAAGGATTGGGCTCCCGCTCATATAAATATACGGGCATTGAACTGGCTTAAGTGGGAAACTACTAAAGGATTGGGCTCCCGCTCAAGCATAGACCTCATTCCTTTTATAAATTCTTTCAACCTTGGAACCCCGAATCCTTGGTTCGCAACACAGAAATTTGTTTATGTTCACAAGACAACTTTCTAAGTTAATGCCAAGATTTCAGGTCAAAGGTTTAAACGATTCAAATTCTACAAGGAAGTAGGTTGACGCCTAAGCAGGAAACCAGATCCATTAGTAGTTTCCCGCTCAAGCGTAAAGCCACATCCTTGTGATTTTACTTATGAATCATTGCTGTAAAGAAGAACCATAATTCGTTTCAAATTCAAGATTTCAGGTTAAAGGTTTAAACGATGTAAAAAGAATTATACCCCAAGGAATAGGTTTATGCTCAAGCGGGAAACCAGATCCATTAGTAGTTTCCCGTTTAAGCGTAAAACCAATTCCTGGTGATTGTACTTATGAACCATTGCTGTAAAGAAGAACCATAATAGCAATAATAATCAACAGACTATGAGTTTGCTAGAGCATAAAGGTCTACTACTATGTATAAGTACATTTTCTTAATGTTCACACCTGCGTTTTGCTCACTAAAAACACACACATGCAGACACTCCAAAGCGAACAGTAGTGCATTCAGCTAGCGCATTTGTTTTTCAGAACCAGCTGGGAAAGGTTTGCTATTGGTGAAGATCTAAGAGAATTCTACGTGTTTTGGCTGCTTATCAAGCTTTGTACTCCTCTTCATATCGTTTAGATTTTGGTGCTTATTGATCGAGTTTGTTTTTGTTCTCGCGTCCCTGCTCTTGTATCAGCTGGTATTCGGAGCCAACTTCGTCTTAGAGCGAACTTCGTCTTAAGCCTGTGCATCGTTTATGTCACGTCCTTCCGTCCATCCTGGGGAACTAGGATTTGTCATTTTTTGGTACACGTGTTTTTGCAATTTCGCACCCAATACATGATGACCACGAAGCATTCCAGTATGTCAAAGTTTTGCTTTGAATTGCTGATATTGCACTGTCTGGGGCTCTGCAAGTTTACTGTAAGCACCAGTGCAAGTCCTACATATATAGGTGAAAGCACACTAATGAAAGACAGCCCCCAATGCAAACGTAAAGCAACGTAAGTGAGCGTGCCAAATATTACGTTTAAAAGAGTGTCAGTTGTCTGAGCCAGCACACTTTCCAGATGGCCCTGGTTTCCCATCGGAAAGTCCTATACGTGATGAACAGACAAAGACAATCAATGCACTGATCTTCTTTTCGCAGTGGCCTCAAGCACAGATGAATTTCCAGTTTTTTTCTCAATACGAGAAAGGATCAATTTCATATCTGGCTTGGTAATGAGCCACCCTGCTAAACCATTAGAACAGTGATTGGGCCGACTGAAATTCGTCAGGTTTAAACACGTGTCACCTGGGTAATAAGCATTTTTACACCAACATGAACCCCGAGTTTCCGAATTGTCAGCCGGGGTTGAACTACACGAGCTTCTGGATGTTTTTCAGACTCCTTTGCTGTGCTAGCAGCCAAGGTATTGAACTATGCGGACACCCTCTTGAAATCCAGGACACAACATTGTACTGAAGACCCTACCGAAATCAAGCTATAGCTCGTAAGTATTGATTGCGATGTGTTTCTTTACAGCAAATTTGTCTACCCGCAACATGAATATGCAGCAAAATTAGCATAGGAAAGGCACATCAAGCTAGGACATCTGTTAATTAAGCCTAATCTCTCACGTGTACTTGATGCTCGGAAGTCTTCAGTTCGCACCTTCTCTAGGAGGGTATAGGCCTCTGTACAATCCCGTAAACCAACAGAAGCTACTAATAATACTAATAGCAATGTTGATTGACCAAGATCAATAGACACATGTATATCATTTATTGCAACAAGAGTAGCAACACTGATGGTACTTTCATAAAGTTCATCATAGTAGTACTAACACTAGAAATACGGTTGTATTGCATCTTGAAACTAAATCCTCGACCCGAACCGTGATGCTTAAACCTTGAGCCCTGAAATCTGGATCCTTCGCTCGGCCAGACCGATGCACACGGATTTACTAGGCAGGAGTCGGTGTACTAAGTTTCGTTTTTTAGGGTTTAGAGTTTTATGGATTCAAAGTTTTGGGTTTATGGTTTGTAGCTCCAACTTGGTGTTTCACGGTTCCAGGGTTTTGGGCTCGAGGTTTGGATCTTTATTTAGGGCTTGGGTGGTTTTGGGTTTAGGCACATGTTGATCAGTTGTAGACTTGTCTACCAACCCCCTTTTTGCGTGCGAGGCGAGCCACATGTGGCGAGCTTGCAAAAATCCAAAAGGTACCCTAATCCCTATCCCGTGTGCTTTACCTCACCCTAAGCACCGGTATTTTGGTGTGACCATTTCTTGTGTCGTGCCATTCTGAATGCTTGGCTTATCCGTGACATTCATCTCAAGTGGTGGGGGGGCGGGACCGCCAAACCGTCTCGACATAAGTTCTTGACGGGGGTGTGCGGTTAGAGAGCCGTGGAAAGCCTTGGGGCCAGTAGCGTGCATCTAGAAGGTTCTAGTGCTCCTAACACGAGGTGCTGTTAGGTCGTGCACGCCGCGTGGTCCCGTTGACCGCGGCAGATGGATCAGGAGTGGCTCTCCTTCGGTGGAGCTCATGGAGCATCCGGAAGCACCTGGGACCCCACCGTAGTTTTGATCAAAGGGCAAGGGCGCCCTGCCGTCCTTGAAGGTTGGCTGGGGTGTCGGAGGTCCGGATGGTTTGTAGCTTGGATAAGAAAAGTTCGTGTGTGACAATTTTGGGAGTGCATTCATGTTTACTCACGCTTTATTGCGAGTGCTGATCTAGGACTTAAAAATTTTCTTTTTCACTGTGAGAAGCCTGATCATTCGGTCATGGGTGTTGTGAAGTTGCTGTGGCACTTAATACCCGGTCATACTTGGCTCGCTCTTGAATTCGGTAGATCTTTTCTTTTGACGGCTACGTGAGCACTCTTTGTAGCGTAGGGTGGCTTCGGAGGCGCACTTTCTTAGTAGATCAGGGCATCCTTGTTGAGCCTACATGGGAGACGTGCCTGTGGATGCCGCTGCACTTGACTTGATGCGCACTTGTCCTTTTGCATCAGATCGAGTCACCAGTCGTCTTTCAGACCTACGTGGGAGACAGTCGGAGAGCCCACGAACTTAGTTTTTCGTCTCCCTGCTGCAAGGGGACCGTTGCCGCTGATAGCAGGACCTCCAGCTGAAGCGGCATCTTCCGGGTCCGTCAGTCAGGCCAAGAGACCGGGTGTTTCGGGAGACTCTCCATTGAAGATGGCTAAACATTGGCACGGGATTTCGTGGGAGTACAAGCTGGAACGAGAGCTGGTCGCGGGTATTAGGAAGTGGGGTGTGATTATTATGCACTCCCCTCTGAGCTTTGATATCGGCCGGCGTCTTCGGGGTGAGCAAAGACTTGAACCACTCATCTTGGAAAGCCTCGGCCACATTTTTGCTGGGAAGGCAGCTGGTACTCTGCATCAGAGGGCTGGTCCGATGCTTAGGTATATCCGCTGGAGTGTTCAGGCCGACATGGATCCTTTCCCACTTGAGGAGGGGCAGGTATACGAGTTTTGCAAGGGTTGCGAGTTTTCTTCTGCCCCGACTTTCTTGAGGAGCTTCATTGTATCCATATCTTTCGCTGTGCACGTCCTCGGTGTCACAGGTGGAGCCGATTGCTTGATCAGCGGTCGGGTGATTGGCATAGCGAGGCTCACCTACCTCGCAAAGCGCAAGAAGACTCGGAGGCCGCCACTCACGGTGGCTATGGTAGCTTTCTTGGAGAACCTTGTTTGTGATCCGACTGCCAGGGCAATTGATCGAATCTGCGCGGGTTTCTTTCTTTGCTTGGTGTTCATGCGAGCCCGTTTTTCAGACGGGATGAACCTTGGAAACTTGCAGTTGGACACTCCGAGTGGTCTGGCCACTGAGGTGGCTGGATACTTGGAAGGAGAGGTGCTTCGATCAAAGACGTCTTTCACGACCGAGAGAAAGACGATGCTTTTGCCCATGGTCTGCCCACGCTTAGGTGTCACAGGACTCGATTGGGCAGGAGTGTGGATGAAGCTCCGGGAGGTTCACAAGATGCCGACGGGCAGCGGTGTGCCGCTGCTCCCTGGTACAGGAGCTTCGGGAGAATGGCTACTCGTTCCACCGAGTGCCACTGTAGCTGCGTCCTGGCTTAAGGGCATTTTGAGCAAAGGAGGTTTTGATCATGGGGCTCTCGCCAAATTGGGCGCTCATTCGTGCAAGTGCACTACCCTCAGCTGGTGCGGTAAATTTGGTATCGATCAAGCGGTGCGTCGCACCCTCGGTTACCACACCGACCGAGCTGCTGCGATGGTCATTCTTTACTCTCGTGATGAGATTTCGAGTGCTGTGCGAGCTCTGGAGAGAGTCCTTGTTGAAATCAGGGAGGATCGTTTTAGGCCTGATGCCACTCGGAGCGGACATTTTCCTTGTGAGGTGGCTGCGCCCTCAGCAGAGACAGAGGGTGATCCTCCCGACTATGAGTCCAACGGCGGAGTGAGTGAGTCGGAAGATTCACAGGACGAAGAGGACAACGTTGGCGATCTCGGAGCCGAGGAACGAGCTCTGGAGGAAATTGGAGCCCCGTGGAGGCCACAGGGCGCTGCGAGTGATCGCCGTATGTTCCGGCACAAACTCTCGAGGATCATTCATTTTGTGGCCGACGAGGGCGGTGCCACTTTTGCATGTGGAACAAAGATCTCTTCGAATTACGTTGAGATGGACAGTGGGAATTTCCTTCTTGCATCCTTTGTGCAAGAAGTGCCACCCGGTCCGATAAGAGCTGGTTCGGGCTGGACCGGAGTGGGTTTGGGTTTGCCACATCCAACCCGGTAGAGGAGCTGGCGCGGGCTCGGGTTGGGTGAATGCTGGTGCCTCCACTCGCATGTCGGCTGATTCGGGCCCGAGCTGGAACTTTGGGCACAGCATCGCAAAATACCTTTTGATGGCCTTGAAGGATCGTGAGAGTCCTTCTTGGATACATGAGTGCAGCGCTAGAGGATCGCTTGGATCCGGGGCGATTGGCCCTTAGCGAGGGGCAAGACTTTGTGTTGACGTGCTTAACAGTGACTTGGGTCATTATGGATCGCAAAGTCTTGTCTCGTTTGAGTGTCGAGGCTATGGCATGCAACAAATACAGGGTCCTGTGATGTGTGCCGCGCGGAATGCCGAGAGAAGCGATAAACTTTTGCAGAGGTGCTGTAGAGCAACAGTTTGCAGAGGCGAAGTGTAAATACTGCGTGAGCAAGTGTGCGTCTCAGAGCAGGTGGAGGGTGTAGTCGTTGCAATGTCGGTCACCGATTCCACCGCAAATTTCCGTGCGAGGGCCATCGCGCTGGGGCTTGATGAGGCTGTCCTGCAGAAGATAATCGACGGGGGTATTGACACATTGGCCAAGTTTGCTTTTTCGTCTTCATACACCCCTGGTGCTCAGGATGAAGGGCCTTTTCTTGAGTCCATTGCAACTCTTCTGGGTAGGAATGGTAGCGTGGGAGAATTGTCAGTACTTCGACGCTTGTTCCATGAATCCTACTCGCTCACCTCGGCTGAGTTGAAGCAGTCAGTGGAGCGTGTTGAGGACGGGCCTGTCAAGAGATTGGCTCAGCCCGACAGTCCGACAGAGCCGACCGGTTGGCCAAGCAACAGAAACGCTTGCCTGGGATAAATATCCGAGGCCCCCTTGAGCCGTCTGATCGACTCGTGGATCGTTGCGTGGCGATCTATGAGGAAAACCGGCTTGTCTACGTTGAGCTTTCAGCCAGCACCTCTAAGGAAGACGAAATCAAGCAGGCCACGCTCAAGGAGGACCGGCATCTTGTCGTAGAAAGCGGGGGAAATGTTCGACTCAAAGGCTTGGTGAACAACAAGATGGATGCAGACATTTCCTCTGATTTGCTCATGCGGTATGCTCTTACTAGGCGTGGCCTAGCGATGGAGCAAGCGGGAATCATCTCTTATACACTACATGATGCCTGGACTGAGCAACTGCTCGCATGCCGCTTCCGAGAACCTCCGACAGGGTACAGTCGCGTTTCCTTGCAACAGGTCATCCATGCCGACAGACAATTCTTCATCAAACTTGCCGAGCTCACCCGAGAGGGAATACAGCTTCAGGCGACGGGTAGGCCATGTGATGTGCACTTCGAGACAGCTCGTAATCACCCAGATGTGGCACACCTAATGCAACCCCTTCTTGCAGCAGTGCCAAGGCCAGACCCCGCATGGACACCCCGCAAGGGCGATGGCAAAAATAGCAAGGGAGGTAAAGGTCATAAGGGTGGCAAAGGAAAGCGAGACACCACTGCCATCACTGCTGCGATGCCTAAGGAGATTGCGGATGGAGGGTTATCTTTCACGCCTAAAGGGTACGCAATCTGTTGGGATTATAATCTCAATAGATGCAAGCGCAGAGTGACATCAGGAAGGTGCGACAAAGGGTTGCACATATGCTGCCGTGCTGGCTGCCTGAAATCTGGGCACTATTACGGCAACTGTCCAAAAGCAGGAGGTTCTTGACTAGGTGCCTCAGGTCCTTTCGGTTCCGCCTCGCTTCAGGCCAGAGCCGATACGGGTATGAGCGTTGATGCATCCGGCGGTGCCTCCGCTGAAATCCTTTCACAACATTTGCTTGAGGCTGACAGGTTGCCCCCTCCAGAGGAGATTGAAGAGCTCGTTAGCCTCTTGTCGCACGGCGAGTTGACCGGCGAACGCCGGGGCAACAATGACATTTCTTGCAATGCATTCCATAGCGGTGCTTTTGTGCATGTCAAGGTAGGATTGCGGCGAAATTGCAAAGCTTTCCCAAGCACGACAAAGATACTAGCGAGAATTCTGCGGCATGCCCATCCCGGGCATGAATTTACTTCCTTGTTGCTGTCTGTTGACAACCAGACTGCATTGCATGCAGATAGCCAGAATGCCTTCATCCCAAACTTAGTTGTTCCACTAAACCGGTTTTCGGGTGGTGGGATTTGGGTGCAATCCGATGTTGGCAAAGAGCGCTTGACAGTTGATGGCCAGGAGCTGCTGGGAACCACCTTGGATTTAGGGTTAGGTCCCGTAAGATTTCAGGCCAGGGCTCAGAAGCACCTCACGCTGAGCTGGGAAGGCCGGCGAATAGTCCTTATCGGATACTCGGTACAAGGAGGTGAGAAGCTTGACGACTCAGAAAAGGTTGTGTTGCAATCCTTGGGGTTTGCACTTCCGTCGCAGTACCCTGCCACAGGCGACCCGGTGGCAGAGCAGGCGTGTTTTGCAGACTTCAGGAATGGGACCAGCAGTCCGCCACTTCTTGAGCAAAGGCAAGAATATGAGCCACAGCACATCGGCGATCCGTCGAAGGGTCCAGTGCAAGGGATCGTTATCGAATTGTTTGCTCGTAGTGGTGCCTTGTCTAGGGTTTTCAAACAGCACGGGTTTGAGGTCTTCCCGGTGGATCGTGGGGGGCATAGGCTCCCTTTGTCCAAGTTGTGTGCACTTGATTTAGCGCAAGCGTCGAGTTGGACCTACCTTGAAGAGGTTCTTGAAACCTACCCTGTTCTTTATGTCCACGCTGAGCCACCTTATGCCACGTTTGGACCACAGCAGGCTTTCAGGCACTTAGTCAACGGGGTCACCAGCCCCTGGGGAGCCACCGATTCAAAAGTTGTTGATCGGCTCGCTTTGGCTGATTCCATGGTCAACCACTTGTGCACTTTCTTGCAAAGCGTGGACAAACGGGGAATACCTTGGACCTTGGAACATCCTAAGGCCAGCCTGCTTTGGAATCTGCCCAATGTGGAAGCATTGCCCTCAACTTCTGAGGTTGTTTACGATCTTTGTAATTTCGGGTCTTCCCTTAAGCTTCGCCGCCAACTTAGGACCAATTGCAGGGCTCTAAGGTCCTTGAACTGCTTGTGCAAAGGCGATCATTCCCATAGCCAAGTGGAAGGCGGAGTCGTCACGCATCCGCCCGAATTCTGCAAACATGTCGTTCAGGCGATTGCGCGGCACCATGGTCTGGCTTGCCCCGACGTGGCGTTGTCATCCACGCCAGTTGGTGTTGCCCAGCAGAAGCGAGGCAAGCCTGAAGCTTCGCTACTGCCCGAGTTCGGCAAGGTCTTGCAGGTGGATGTCGATCAGGTTCCGCCAGTGAACCACAAGCAGTGCCTCATACGTCCGTTGGGCGAGGTGCCAGCAGGATCCAAGCTCATCGCCACGTCTCTTCTCAGGGGTGATGCGGGTGGCGATGCGGGTAACGAAAGTAAGAAATTTCGCCTTTCTTTGGGAGTCTTTGCCACACCAGATGAGTTCGTTGATGCGGCTAAAGACTTGCTACATCCTTTTGCTGCTTCGGCTGTTCTGTCACCTATTGTGAAAAGGCGACTGTTCGAGGCCTTGACCAAAGGTCCGGAATGGGTTCAGCGACAACGGTGCTCCAAGTTGAAATTGTGGCTTAGCTGGGCCAAAGAACTGCAAGTTGCCGAAGGAGAAATGAAAGGTAAGCTAGATCCTGACATTGGCCGTGTGCTTCGAGGCAAGCGCTTGTTGCTCCTGAAGCGTATTGCTGATGATATGGACTGGCCTGACAAGGATTGGTTGAGCGAGCTCTTGGAAGGGTTTGACTTAGTTGGTAGTCAGAAGCACACCGGGGTCTTCAGGCGAGAGTTGCGACCACAGGCGAGGACCAAGGCGGATTTTCTTGGTGCTAGCAAGTTTTTGCGACCGGCACTTCTGGGCAAGGTTGCCTCTGAGGGTCTGAACGAGCATTCTCAGGAACTTTGGGACAAGACCTTGGAAGAAGTGACGGACGACCTTCTTGAAGGGCCTCTGACGCAGGAAGAGGTTCATACCAGACATGGTGACCATTGGGTCCCGGTTAGGAGGTTTCCGGTTGTACAATCTTCAGCGGGAAAAAAGGAAGCTTCGACCTATTGATGATTTTTCGGAAAATCTAGTCAACGGTCCTTTTTCGTATGCCGATAAGATTGACTTGCGCGCCCTTGACGAAATCATTGCCATTTGCCGATGCTGGACCCAGGCATGCACTTCGGAGCATCAGTTCTTTTTCGCGATGCCTGACGGGCCGCCATTGGTGGGCCGTGTCCACCCTTTGTGGATCAACGGGGCTTGGGAACCTTTGCTTACTACGTTTGACTTGAAGAACGCTTATCGTCAATTCCCGCTATCACCAGGCAGCCGTGCTCATGCAATCATTGCACTGTTGGACCCGAGTAGTCTTGGCGTGGGTTTGTTCGAGTCCAAGGCGCTACCTTTCGGCAGCACAGCGTCGGTGGTTCACTTCAATCGAATGTCTCGGTTGTTTTGGAGGATCGGCCTTGAACTTCACTTGTGGTGGAGTAATTTTTATGATGACTACCCAGTCATGACGCCAACACTGCTTAAGGATTCCACCATGTCGACAATGATGCTCCTGTCCCGGCTGTTAGGGTTTAGTGCTTCCCTTGAGAAGTTGGCCCCTTTCTCTTCGGTTGGTTCGATGTTGGGCGTTGAAGTAGACTGCAGTTCAGCACCCGATGCGATCATCCGTGTTCGCAACAAAGAAGGTCGTGCGAGCGAGGTGTGTGAGGTCATACAAGGATGCATTAAGGCTGGTGTCGTACGGCAGAGAGAGATTTCGCCCGTGTCGCTGGCAGGATTCAGTTCTCAGATTCACAAATCATGGGACGTACCGGCAAATTGGCTTTGGCCGAGTTGCGAGCCTCGTCGGCTAAGCACGCCGACAAGTTCCGTCTTGGCGAGCAGGAGGTCAGGGCCTTTGATTTCTTGGTCAGTCGACTGTCCTTTGGTGCTCCTAGGGCCCTAGGGTTGTGCCCTGTTCGGTTCCCCCGAAACCGATTCTCGTCTTTACCGATGGCGCCAGCGAAGGATCTGTCCACACAGTAGGGGGAATCATGTTTGACCCGCGAGAACAACAACCGAAGTACTTTGCTTGCCATGTGTGCAACAGTGTCGTCTCGACTTGGTCCCGGGACCTTCAGCACATCATAGGTCCAGTCGAGGCCTACGCCGTGCTCACAGCGAGAAAGGTCTTTCATCAGTCACTGTCGGGACGATATTGTGTGTACTTCATCGATAACGACGGTGTGCTACTTAGCTACATCAAGGGCACGTCTTCTAGCAAACCGATGCGAGATATTTTGCTGATGTGGGAGTCCTTAGAGATGCATGCTCACACGTGGGCTTGGTGGGCTCGTGTGCCATCCGCTTCGAACCCAGCCGATGCGCCGTCAAGAGGCGAGCTGGATGAGCTTGTCAAGGCTGGGGCATTGCGTGTGGATTGTGATTGCCCGCTTACCGGTACAAAACTTGTCGACTTGTAATCAATGGGGCTCCCGTACTGCATTGCTTGGGGGGATCGGGCAGCCCGGTTCGCCCCGAGCAAAAAGTCCACTGTGCGAGTGATTGAGTATGATTGGAATCATTTCATACCTATATTTATGGAGTCTCGCCGTTGCATAATTCTGATGCCGACTTTTCCTCTTGAATAACATTCTTGAGTACGCGATTGGAAGTTTTTGGATTTTTCCGAGCTTAGCAAAAAGATCAGTTGTAGACTTGTCTACCAACCCCCTTTTTGCGTGCGAGGCGAGCCACATGTGGCGAGCTTGCAAAAATCCAAAAGGTACCCTAATCCCTATCCCGTGTGCTTTACCTCACCCTAAGCGCCGGTATTTTGGTGTGACCATTTCTTGTGTCGTGCCATTCTGAATGCTTGGCTTATCCGTGACATTCATCTCAAGTGGTGGGGGGGCGGGACCGCCAAACCGTCTCGACGCCCACCCACCACACCCTGTCGAGACATCGTTGCTTCGGCTTGCAGCGCCGACTTGTGCTCCCAAGGAGAACTTTCAGTTTTCTGCCAACCTCCGGAGACTAACGCCTCGGTTGAGGCGGCGACTTCTGTCGCTGACTCTCGTGACTTTAGCTTCGCCCGAAGTTGTTGCAACTCTCACAAACGTGAGAACGCGCCTAGCCCGAGCCTGGATCGGGCAGCCCGGTTCGCCCCGAGCAAAAAGTCCACTGTGCGAGTGATTGAGTATGATTGGAATCATTTCATATCTATATTTATGGAGTCTCGCCGTTGCATAATTCTGATGCCGACTTTTCCTCTTGAATAACATTCTTGAGTATGCGATTGGAAGTTTTTGGATTTTTCCGAGCTTAGCAAAAAAGCTAGGCTTTGTAACTACGTTCCAAAGGTGTAGGTTGAGGGTTTGTGAAATAGGTCCCGAAGGGTTTGCAAGAAGGCTGACGTTTCCGGGTTTAATGTTTTCAAGCTTTTAAGTTAAAAGGTGTAAGGGTGTACAGTTTTAAGGTTTGAGGCTTTTAGAGTCTCGGGCACGTAGGATTCTGGTGTTTAGGCTTATTGCGTTCAATTGCGGGGCTTGGTTTTCAGTTATAGTTTGGGGTTTCGGCTCTTTTTGCGGGCTTGCGGTTTGAGCCACCGGGCTGGGGGTTAGGGTCAGGGCCATGGCTTAGGAAGCGGTTTCATCGTAGGTTCCGGGTTTCAAGTTTCAACCTGAAGGATTTTCAGGTTTCGGGTCTCGGCTTTGGAGTTGTGCCGTTTCAGGTGCTTTCACTACCCTTCTGCGAGGTTGCACAGCCACGGGCTTAAAGCCACAAGGCTTTTTTCGACAGTCATGGCAAAACTGGCAAACAAAGACACATAGTGACAATGAGCGTCCAGAAACGCAACAAACAGACAATGGTAGATTTAACGCTACAAAGTTTGTAACAGTTCTACAAGTTAAAAAGTATTGTAAAGATTTTAAAAAGCTTTCAAGAGTTTTTAACAGGTATCTTCAAACGGTTCAAAAGTTTTGTGTTGTAAGATAATGACAGTCATCAGAGCTGAAAGAAGAAGCTCGGCGATGTTCGAACATGGAATTTCCGAAAAGGAGGTAGTTCTCGAGCTATCCAGGGTTCGAACATGGATTCCGGTTCGAACATAGTTCTGCGAACCCAGGGTTCGAATGTGTCAGCAAAAAAGAAACGAGATGAACCGAGGTGAAGTTCTGACCTGGTCTCGAAGATCCAGGAGTCTCGATCATAGAGTTTCCAAAGCCGAGCTTGCCTTCGGAAGTTGCGAACATGAACTGTTGTTGGGTTTTGTGGCGCTATTGCATGACAGCTTTGTTTGCATCTTGGCAAAAGATGCCGCCATTGCGCGAATCGTTATCCCGCCCCAAGTTTGAGAACTCTGGTGTCGAAACTTGGGGCTTGAACACGAACGTTTGTGGTTGCAGATGTTTTAGAATCTTAGAAAATTCCTGGAGTTCGGACTTGGCGTTCAAACTCTGTTGAGGTCTGGGCTTGAACTGGTGTTTGAACCGGAGATGAACACATTATCTTGAACACTGCTCTTTTTATTTTCACTGGTTTCTTCATGTTGATCCTCACATTTGGCTTTCTGCAGCGGAAGACGTTTCTGGTGCTTCTAATGCGTTTTTGAACCCTGCGCGACCAGATGGCTGTCAGTTGATGTCTCTGGTTGTGGGTCTGCCTTCTTTCGAGCAGTCGCTCAGTTATTGGAACCAGTGCATACTGCAGGATCGAAAAACTCATTCTCCAGGATGATGACGTCCGTCGCGCTAAGGCAGACCGAGCATCCATGCCCGTAAGATGATAACGTTCATGCCTGTCGTGATTCTGTCGTTTTCGGTTTTCATTTCTTTTGTAGAAGACCTGGCGCAGGGTGTTGTTCATCAACTCAAAAAAGGTTTTGTGTGATCGAAGATGCGCGAAGCATGCTTTTTTCTCCGAGGTCTGCAACTATGGTCGGCCAATCAATCTGTCACTGTTGCACAAACGAATTAAACTGTCGAAAGCCAGCACTAGGGTTTCTTAGAACACTTTGACGTGTTTCAATTTTTTGAAATAGATTGAAATACTTGTACAAATTTTAAAGCTGAAAATGGCTTTAAGCGCGTCGTCTCTATGTGTCCGGATTTGTCTTTGTGTTTTGATGGTGCTCCCCCAAAGAGAATTTATCTATCTACCATCTATCCAAGAAAGGATTGATAAACCACAAGCGATCTTCGCTTCCGCGAAGAGGGCGCAGTGGAGGCGCCTCCACCCTTCTTCTCCCGGTGGGGGGGTAGGGGAGCCCGAAGGAAGGATCGGGAGGCCCCCGCGAATCGGTGGCGATTGTTTGCGATTTTCAACGAAAAGGCACAAAACCGCACAGTCACCCGAGGCTCAGCGACGTGACAACATAAGAGTCAAAAAGGTTCAATAAGATTTATCAAGATTCAGTAAGGTTTTCCCGGAAGATGCCATAAGAATTACTAAGTGTCAATGAGATTTGCCGGACCGTTTTTGGCAAAGAGCAGCGCTTTTAGTTGACAAAGCCTCCAGATCCAGAAGCGGCCTCGTGACAACATGATGGTTTAGACACTTTAGGCCTTAGACTTCGAAGCCTCGGTCGTCTAAGCCCTCTGTTTCTGGATCGCCGCAAAAAGTTAAGGATTCTGCCGATCGTGGCATGAGGTGGGGGATGGCCAGAGCTGTGTCTGCCCACGCCCGGGCAAATGTCTGGCTCAATCACCCTACTGTGGATTGAGCTGTTTTCCCCACATTCGGGTTCTCTCTAGCAACAAACTTGACCAGACTGAGCCGGGTTTTATATCTTTTTGCTTTTTCCAAACGGAGACTGAGTATACACCATAGGGGCGACGTCGTGATTCGTTTTTTGGGAGGGAGTTTGGAGCAGAAGACACTGACCAAACGCCACCATTACACCACCGAAGACCCCAAGCAGTTCCATATATATATGTATATATACATATAAGTATACGGGCATTGAACTGGCTTAAGTGGGAAACTACTAAAGGATTGGGCTCCCGCTCAAGCATAAACCTCATTCCTTTTATAAATTCTTTCAACCTTGGAACCCCGAATCCTTGGTTCGCAACACAGAAATTTGTTTATGTTCACAAGACAACTTTCTAAGTTAATGCCAAGATTTAAGGTCAAAGGTTTAAACGGTTCAAAAAGAATTATAAAAGGAAGTAGGTTGACTCCTAAGCAGGGAAACCAGATCCATTAGTAGTTTCCCGCTCAAGCGTAAAGCCACATCCTTGTGGTTTTACTTCTGAATCATTGCTGTAAAGAAGAACCATAATTCTTTTCAAATTCAAGATTTCAGGTTAAAGGTTTAAACGATGTAAAAAGAATTATACAAGGAATTAGGTTTATGCTCAAGCGGGAAACCAGATCCATTAGTAGTTTCCCGTTTAAGCGTAAAACCAATTCCTTGTGATTGTACTTATGAACCATTGCTGTAAAGAAGAACCAGAATAGCAATAATAATCAACAGACTATGAGTTTGCTAAAGCATAAAGGTCTACTACTATGTATAAGTACATTTTCTTAATGTTCACACCTGCGTTTTGCTCACTAAAGACACACACATGCAGACACTCCAAAGCGAACAGTAGTGCATTCAGCTAACGCATTTGTTTTTCAGAACCAGCTGGGAAAGGTTTGCTATTGCTGAAGATCTAAGAGAATTCTATGTGTTTTGGCTGCTTATCAAACTTTGTATTCCTCTTCATATCGTTTAGATTTCGGTGCTTGTTGATCGAGTTTGTTTTTGTTCTCGCGTCCCTGCTCTTGTATCAGCTGTTATTCGGAGCTAACTTCGTCTTAGAGCTAACTTCGTCTTAAGCCTGTGCATCGTTTATGTCACGTCCTTCCGTCCATCCTGGGGAACTAGGACTTGTCAATTTTTGGTACACGCGTTTTTGCAATTTCGCACCCAATACATGATGACCACGAAGCATTCCAGTATGTCGAAGTTTTGCTTTGAATTGCTGATATTGCACTGCCTGGGGTTTGCAAGTTTAATGTAAGCACCAGTGCAAGCCCTACATATATAGATGAAAGCACACTAGTGAAAGACAGCCCCCAATGCAAACGTAAAGCGACGTAAGTAAGCGTGTCAAATATTACATTTAAAAGAGTGTCAGTTATCAAGCTATAGTTCGTAAGTATTGATTTCGATGTGTTTCTTTACAGCAAATTTGTCTACCCGCAACATGAATATGCAGCAAAATTAGCATAGGAAAGGCACATCAAGCTAGGACATCTGTTAATTAAGCCTAATCTCTCACGTGTACTTGATGCTCGGAAGTCTGCAGTTCGCACCTTCTCTAGGAGGATATAGGCCTCTGTACAATCCCGTAAACCAACAGAAGCTACTAGTAATACTAATAGCAATGTTGATTGACCAAGAACAATACCACATTTATATCATTTATTAACAAGAGTAGCAACACTGATGATACTTTCATAAAGTTCATCATAGTAGTACTAACACTAGAAATACGGTTGTATTGCATCTTGAAACTAAATCCTCGACCCGAACCGTGATGCTTAAACCTTGAGCCCTGAAATCTGGATCCTTCGCTCGGCCAGACCGATGCACACGGATTTACTAGGCAGGAGTCGGTGTACTAAGTTTCGTTTTTTAGGGTTTAGGGTTTTATGGGTTGAAGGGATATTGCTGTGCGAACGTGTCCAGCACTAAAGCCTATTCTGAAGGCTGAAGTGAGCAGACCATACAGACGCGCAGCTGCATCACTGTGATATGTCGTCCTTATCATCTCTTTCATGCTGAAGCTTTTGGCCGACGGCCTGTCACAGGAAGTTTCGAAAGCGCCATGCTTCATGGTGCCCCGCCTGTGTTGGGCTGCTACCTCTGAGGTCTGGACTGAGCACTCGTTTGCCGCCTAAAGGGAAAGGACATGACTTTTGCTCAGAAAGGTTTTCCTCTACACTTGGCTTTGCGTTCAAGCTCTGTGGCTCGCCAGCAGCGCAACAAACGCCGCCTTCTGCGACACAAGCTTAAGTTGGCCGTGCTCGCAGCTTTGGGCTGCTGTTCTCGCGGAGTTGGAGAAGAGTCAAAGCTGGTCACGCCGAGCGTTGCAGATGAAACATCTGCAGGCACTTCGGTTGCAGATTTTTTCTGCGCGACTGTGCGTGGTTTTTTGGCTGTCTCCGATCTCAACGTGGCCACTTACTGAGGGATTGGGTTTCGTTTGACTCTCGAGGCCCCCAGAGTCGAGTTAGAGACCTTCTCCCGCTCCCCAAGATGGTCACATGGCCCAGCGACGTGGACATAGGCACTTTGAAGGTGGAGACGTGTTTGCACACTGCAAATATGTGTGTGGCTGCGTTAAACTGCCTAAATCAGAGCTTAAAGCCCGCCCTGGCCCCTGAAGCTCTGACTGCAAGACCCACGCTCGCCCAGCTCTCAGCACACCGACATGTGGCCAGCAGAGTGGTTCGTTTCCTTGCCCGGCTCAACAGCGAGCTGGGCGATGCTTTACCTTGGCGCGGATCTTTCAGTGAGGAGGAGCTGACAGCGGCCAGCAACTGCCAAGACATTTGTGCAGATGCAGTGGATCTTCCTGTCGCTGCTGGGACATGCGAACCGCTTGACGTGATTGCGCCGGGCCTGGCATCTCAAATCGTGGAGTCGGAGACCGTTTTCCCACACTGCCATCCGCTGGCAAGTTTTCCTGAGGTGAGCCCGGAAAAGCGGGGGGAATACGTGGCTTTAGCCGTGCGGGAGCTGCAGTGTGGAAAGCTTCGGCTAAGACCCGATGCTTGTGCTGTTGCTGACGTTTTTGCTGCCGCGAAGCGGCATGGACGACAGCGAAAGATTTGGGATGGCTCCCAGATCTCCGGCATGGCTGCAGATCCCCCAAAACCACGACGCTTGGCAAATCCTTCCTGCTTTTTGGAGCTCGAGGTCAAGGCGACGGAGACTTTGTTTTTCTCGAAGCGAGATGCATCGACCTTTTTCGATGTTCTGCGGGTGCCACGCGGATTGCAACCTTGGCTTGCTCAGCCAGCCCTGACCGTCAGCGAGTTACTCAGTGTCGGTTTGATTTTCGACCACATTCAAGCTTTTTGCGACGATGTTGAGCTGCTGTCAGAAGAGACGATGCTGTACCCGACTCACGTGGTGTGGCCAATGGGTTTTTCTTGGTCGTCAGCAGTGGCTCAAGACACTACAGTGGCTACTTGTTTGCAGGCTGGCATAGAGGCATAGACGAGTCTTCAATCTTATGCCCGGACGACGACCCTCCGGCCAGCCAGGAAGAGCTGGCTTTGGTTGCGACGGATGACACAGTCCTCTTCCACCGAGACAGACACAGAGGAGCACAGACTTTGCGCAACTTGGATGCCGCTTTCGAAGCAAACGGCATTCCCAGGAATTCCCGAAAGGATGTGTCGTTGGCCGCTAGCATAACGGCTCTCGGCTGTGACCTCAGCAATCAGCCTCCCCTCGCAGAACCTGCAGCAGCTCGTTTGTGCCAAGCGGTCTGCAAAACTCTGGATGTGCTACACGTCGGAGTGGCAAGTCCGAGAGGCTTGCACAGGCTCCTGGGCGTTTGGGAATGGTTTGCTTTTTTGCAGCGGGGCTTCTACAGCATCTACAGCGACATCTACGGTTTTGTGCAGAGGATTCCTGAGCGACTTTGCACCAAAGTGCCGGCGGGGGTGCTGAACGAGTTGTTAGCCACCTTGCTTCTTTCGCCGCTTTCGCCCTTGCCTTGCTGGGCCATAGGCGGGTGCACGGTTGCGTTGCTTTGTTGCCGGGAAGTTGCCGGGAAGTTGCCGGGTAAATCGGCTCGTGCTGGAAACAAAAAAGATATAGTTTGTTTGCCGTTAGTCAACAATCAAAACCAAAGGCTGGGTGGCTGAGAAACCAAAATTAGGAACGTCTTCAAACTTGAGTTGTATGTCGTATGTTTTGGCAAACCAAGACAAACTTTTTACCCAAGAAAAAACGAAACAACTGTCAAATTTCTGTTTGTTTTGATGGAGCACATGACAAGCGACATTCGACTATGTGTTTGGGGGGTTTAGGGTTTCCAAGGTTTATGTTTGGTAATACCAACTATAACTATATCATAAGGGAAAACTGAAGTAAATTATACCATCATGCATTAGAGACTTCAGAGATATGACAGACAAATATATAGATAGATAGATAGATAGATAGATATGATTAGAATGTCTGCAGCAGCGTCCTTGCGTGTGGTGCTGAAGAGTACCTGTTTGTTTCTGCAGTGGTGCTGATGAGTACCAGTGGTGCTGAAGAGTGCCTGCTTGTTTTCTGCAGTGGTGCTGATGAGTACCCTTGGTGCTGAAGAGTACCACTTATCATGGTTGGGGTTCAGGGTTGATATTAATAAGGCCTTTAAAGCCCAAAAAAGAACGCCCGACCATCCAGCTTAGGGGGTGTGGGGTAGACCCTGCACGGATTCCCGATATCAAGCCTGCTTATAAACTAGCATGCTGCCATCCTGGTATGTAGTCGTTATCAAGGCAACTTAAGAATACACCCCTAACGCTTGGATTAGTTCAGGAGTTCGGTGTTTGACCCAAAGTCAAGGTTCCTTAGCAGGATTTCCAGGGATTGCATCTGGAAGCGTGAGTTTGCCATTGTTGCCTTACAGTTTTCACAAGTAGTACTGGTAATTCATTCGGCTGCTACAGTACTACCTGCAGGGGTTCAGGATTGACGGTCCGGGTTGTCGGTGTTGAAGTCTTTTTGTTAAGGGTCGGGGCCTAGTGAGAAGGTTCGTTCGGCTTTGATGCCATACTCTTTGCATAAAACTCCTCAATCCTAAAGCAAGACTGAAGCCTTTGCTTTGAACCGTTACACTCTACTCCTTCAGCTCGTGTAGCATGGTGAACTGCGACACTACCCCATTCTTGAGCACCACAGTCGGCCTAGAACTAGCAACACTTTTTGAAAGCACTCTTCAGCACCACAGCTCAGTGACACGCCGCTCTTCAGCAGCACAGGTGCAACGTAGCGAAACCGCGAAACCCTGGGTCTCGAGCTGAGTCTTTGGCAGTGCGCTGGTCTACCTGATCATGGCAGCATTGCTTCATAATCATGTATCTACGAACGCCTGATCTCCGGCTGAGTCTTTGGCAGTTTACGCCAGGCCTCGTCGACAGCCTCGGCATCCGACTCAGCCTCCGATGCTTACTGTCATCAAATTATCTGTGGTGCTGAAGAGTACCTACCCATCCCCAGCTGTGCTGCTGAAGAGTGGCATTTCAGTTGCAGAACCCTACCAGCAGTTTGGGGTCTCAAGTTCCTAGCACCACGGCTGGTTACGGCCTGATTATTTAAATCTCCTTCCAACTTCTCAACCCAGCCCAGGTCGTGTGGCCTCCTTCCGCAGCACCATGTGCCACCCAGCCCAAGTCAGGTCCTGGCCTCAGGACCGAAGAAGCTGGGCAAACTATGAATAACGTAATGTATGGAATCAAAGAGGAAGGCGAAGGTATGATTGGCTTGGCAGAGGTGCAAGCAAATAATAAGCTCAAGTTGTTTTTCTCGTGCCCAAAGCCCAGTGAGATCGTCCGGCATCATAGGTCTTGTCATCCATCCGCTTCATCATTTGCTTGCCTGGCCGAGATATTTCATTGTTCGCCTATGTTTGATAAGACGTCCATTACAAAGCCCGCCTTCTTCTCCTTCTTCTTTCGCGGAAGCGGCGCCTCTGTCACCTCCGTTGAAGCCTCCTGCCGAAACAACTGCTGCCAACACTGCCAAATGTTTGGTCATTGTGCAATAGGAGAGTGCATCAGAGTTTAGCCCAGCCTCCGGGATCTTCGCTTTCTTGGCTTGGACCTGCCGTGCTATGATGTTATGCCAACTCGGGATTTTTAAAGAGGGGTGCATGAAATACCCAGCCTTCTTGTCATCTTCTTTCGGATCTTTCTTCCTCTTAGCAGAGTCTGCTCTCATCCTTGCGACCTGCCAAACGTTGAAAAAGACTGCCGCTCTGACTCTGACACTCGGCCTGCCTCCGGGTACTTGGCCGCCACCCGCTCCATCTGCTGTTGTGCAGTCAGCTCGTCATCTCTTTTAACCGCCTGAAGGCTTCAAACCCTAAGGCTTACCAGAAGTGAGTCGAAAATGACAGTGGCCTCCGGAAGATCTGCTTGTGGAAGATCTGCTTGCGGGAACTCCTGCGTGCGGGTCGGCAGGATGCAATTCAAAAGCTTCTTGGAATCTGTTCAACTGCCGAAACCGGAGCTTGACCGTCAGACGAAAAAGACACTGACTGGCCTTTGAAGAGGTACCAGGATTCGCCGTCTCGGGCTTCGACTCTTTCTTGTCGTCCTACACAACGATTGTCGTCAGGCTGCTAAAGCTAGGAAACTCCAGGAATCGAGTAGATCACCGATCAAAACAACTCCGGCCTTTGCAAGGCTCTTCTTGGCGTCTGGCTTCGTTTCCTTCTCCTGCTGAGCCTGTTGTGAGGCTGAGGCTGCAATCTTCTCCAAGTCACTGAGCTTGGAATATCGCCATTCCTTGCTCGACTGCTTCCAAAACTCCACGGATTCCAAGAGCTCGTTGATGCGCGTAGTTTGACGAGACTTCTCGAGCTCGTAGGCCTCCTTCTGCTCGGCCAACAGTTTTTGCGCAGACTGTTGCTCGCGCTGAACGGCCTTCAGGATCTCAGCGTCACTGTAGGCCTTCCAGCGCTCGCCCAGCTGCAGCAGCGCATCCGTCTTGTCGGCCTCGGCAGCCGCCTTCGCCGCCAAGTTCGCCGCCTCGACGTAGGCCTTCTTCTCCTCGTTGAACCTCACCTGTTGTTGCGCCAGCTCTGCTGAGAGTTGTGCCTGGTGTAACTCTGCACAAGTCTGCTTCACCTCTCTCATCTTCGCGTCGAACTCCCTGCGAAGCTGACTGAAGTTCGGGCGAGCGCCCGAAGCTCGGCTTGCCTCCATCAGCTGAGTCACATCTTCGTCGTGCCCACGCAAGGGCGGAGTGAAGGATGGCCCTTTCTGCTTCGTCGTAGGTTGTGGAGGTCGAGGTCCGGGCCCTTGTGGAGGTGGAGGTACGGGTTCTTGTGGAGGAGGCCCGGGCGGAGGCCCGGGCGGAGGCCCGGGTGGAGGCCCGGGCGGAGGCCCTGGTGGTCCGGGTGGAGGCCCAAGCGGTGGCCTCCTTTCAGGTCCAGCTCGTGGCGGAGGCGGAGGTGCTTCCACCGGCGAATTGTAGTCTCGCCCATGCACCTTATCATCCTGCGAGTGCCAGTCCTGCCAGCCATCCCACGCCGGATCATATTGCCATTGGGAATAGGACCAACCACTTGTTGACCATTCCGCATCCATGGTTCTATAACGGCTAGAGGAGCTCTCAAGTGAAGTATGACTTTGTAAAGTCTGGTAGCGAGGTCAGAACCTGGAAGGTCTGAGAAATTAGGTTGCAATCACAGGTCCTAGTGCTAGAACTCTGTGAAGACATTAGTGTAGGAAGTCTGTGGTTATGCCCATGTGACCTGAACGTGTGATGTTGAAACAGAAGGTCTGTGGACTACTCTTTGCAAAGTCTTCGGCAACGATAACTGTTGAACTTTTATTGCATACATAACCATGATGGAACCAGAACTTGGAATGCAGAAGTTGCGGCGAGGAAAACTCGACACAGTAGCAACCAGAATAAGGCCACTCTTCAGCAGCACAGCGAGGCACGACAACAACCCAACACAGCTGAAACTTCCTGCGTCTCAGGTTGAGTCGCTGCTCACTGAGTCTTCGGCCGGACTCCAGCCAGGAGCTTGGAGCACGACCTGGCCAGGGCTGAGCTTAGACATTGGACCTAGATTGTGGAACTCACATGCCACTCTTCAGCAGCACAACATCATTGTGGAATTCAGATGCCACTCTTCAGCAGCACAGCATCATTGTGGAACTCAGATGCCACTCTTCAGCAGCACAGCATTTGTGGACAGCCGGCAAGCACTAAACCCTCAAACCCAAACAAACCCCAGGCTTCTCTGACCAAGCCTTGTCCGCTGATGTGGCCGTGGCCTCGGACACAATGGTGCCTTCCGATTGCTTCTGTTCGTTAGCCGTAGCAGCTGTGGTGCTGAAGAGTGCCGTAGTAGTAAGCTGTGGTGCTGAAGAGTGCCACGTGCTGTTTTTGTGTTGCTAAAGAGTGCTTTGTAGCCTAAAGAGTGCTTTGTAGCTGTGGTGCTGAAGAGCGCCTTCCGATTGCTGCTGTTGTTTGAGCTGTGGTGCTGAAGAGTGCCGCCTGCTGTTTTTTTTCGAGTTCTGGGCTGGGAGTCCGCCTTTCCCGGGTTAAGGCGGACTGCCATGAATCCGATCCTCGACGGACTACCATGTCAAGCAGGCCGCCAGGCGTTTGAGTTTGTTGATTTGCTTAGCGTCACAGGCTTGCACACAACATGTGCAACACGTCCTTACCTGCAACTCTTGTGGCTGGCCGCGGCATTACAGATCGCAAAGCTGAGCTCCTCACTCTGACTGGGTGAGTCTTTGCGGCTGCCATGCCTCCCAAAGGGAAAGCGAAAGCCGCTCCTAAGGCTGGCCGCGGTCGTGGAGGTGGGGGTAAGGGCGGCGGCAACGCCGCTGCTCCTGATCCTGCTGCGGGCGGTCCCGCCGCTGCTGGTGTGAACTGCCGGCACCTTGGGCGGGTCATGGATGCCTTGACCGAGATCTCTGGGAACACTGTGCTCTCGGATGTGAAGGACAAGCCCCCACTGCCAATCAGCAACTCCAAGGATTCTTCCACGATCGTGCCCCGGATTTGAATTAGCAACCAAAGCAGGGGCACACGACATATACAGGATTGTGTGCTCATAGGTCTTCTGAATTGCATGATCTACTCAGGCGCCTTTTGACCGTGACCAGATGAAGCATGCCCTGGGGAGCAAAGGTTCCTACACATGTGGAGGCAACCTGATGTGGATCGATTTGCTCACTTCCATCACTCCGAATGTGCCGGTGGTGGAGGCTACGGTTCAGAAGAGCATGGACAAGTATTTTCCTTCTGCAAACATCAACTGGGAAATTGGCAAGGTCATCATCGGCTTGTTGCCGGCACAAGTTGAGTCATTGGCTAATGGTGCACAGCCGACCTCCTTGCGGCTCATTTCCCCTGAAGAATACTTGCACGCCTTTGTGCTCAAGGTGGCTCAACGTGTGAAGGATGGGGCACCCATGGGGGAGCTGAACCAGTGGTCGACCCTCATGCTGTCATTGCCGATGACCTTCCAGGTCGGTGCCAGCCCGGAGAAACTCTACTTTGCTGGAGTGACAGCCCGGGAAAACTATGGGACTGGGTATGACCTCCTGTTCCGAAGCGCGGTGCAGAGAATCTATGAGCTGGGGGTTTACCGGGATTCCCAGCCGGGCAAGTTGACCCACAAGGAGATTGCTGCTCGCTGGAAGGCGAGCGTGACGTTCTCCACCATCACGGATGCGGACGAGACGATGCAGGACTGGGCCGGCTTCGTGTCCACGTGTATCTCGGTCTACGACCGCTGCTTGTCGAACCCCACGGTGTCACGCCTCATTTTGGATGCTGAAGAGCGTTGGGGAAAGCAAACACCTTGGGACTCGGTGGGGAAACTGGACACTCTGTGTTCCAAGTGCACGAAGTCGATCGGGCGCTCCGACCCAGGCTCGGCCACAGACAGGATGTGCTGGGTGATCCGGGCAGTGCATGATTTCTATGACTCGGAGCAAATTCAGAAAACCCAACTGAGCACTCGGAACTTCTCCGGCAAGGGGCTCTACGGCCACAAAGGGACATGTGACATTTTGCTCTACAAGTATGGGCTGGGCATCTACATCAAGGACTACCTTGAGGGCACGATCATCGACGCGAACCAGAAGGCTGTCATTCGCTCAGTGTTCGATGATCATGAGTCCTACCGGAAAGCTTATGGGCAGCATGGCCACATGGAGGACTATGACGTCTCCTGGCTAGGCTCACTCTGCCAGCCGGCTCGGACAGCTTGCGGCCTGCTGAAGCAGCTGGTCTACACAGTGGAGGAAGACGCAAGGCTCAAGCGCATGCTGCATGCAGGGGCCTCCTGTGCCGATTGGCTTGACCATGATGAGCTGTCGGAAAAGACGGGACCTTTGAAGTCAGAGATGCTGGCCCTGAGCAGCCTGGAAAGGGCTGTTGTAGAGGAGACGCCGGTGGTGAGCACGCCGCAGCAGAAGATGCAGGACAGCATTGTGCATACACTGAAGGTGTCTGGCAGCGAGGAATCCATGGAGAGCCACGTCCGGTCCCTGCCCGAGGCAGACCTCGCCCGCATCATGGAGGCCATCACGTATGCGAAGCAGCATGTGAGACAATTCATCAAACTTTTCGTTGATGACGAAAAGGAAAAGCTTGTCTTGGATGCCTTGAATGAGTCCTCCCTGACGCGCATTGCAAAGTCCGAGTTCTTGCTCACATGCTTTGACGTCAAGAACTCTGGTGAACCTGTTACATGTCCTCACATTCGTGTGGCCCCGTTGAAAAACGAGAGACTGCGACGCTGCATTCAGCGAACGTGCAAGTTTATGAGCAGCCCAGACGGCCTGCCGGAGAACATGGCATTCATGGTGTTTGACGGGGGAAAGTTCGGGAACCTGGCGCCGATCATGAGTCAGTTTGTGGACAGCAAGGGCACGGCGATGCCGAAGCAGACCCGGACCATCAGCATCTGCTACGAGGAGAATTCCGTGATTCGGCGCATGGAGCGCTATCGGACCATGACCTCATTGCAGCAGCTGGAGAGCTGTCATCTTGCCGCTTGAACTCATGTCCCTAAGAAGATAAGGTATGCTTCCCTTACTAACTAACTCAGCAGTGTGGGGCTGAATCCAAGACATCAGAGGTGTACAACTGTGGGATCAATCTGCCCGGCATGAAGAAAAGACGCAACCGGTGCTACTACAGCGGGACCTCCCACGGACAGGTCATTCAGAACGTTGTGCTGCCGACGGATGCAGAAGTGTGGACAACATCTTTTGCGAACAAGAAGGCAGGATATGAAAACCGAGTTAGGGGGTTACCACTTATTATGTACTTCCACCCGCGCCTGATGTTGAGGCGATCTACGACCGCCTGCGAGTGGACGTGGGGGGAACGACCGCGGGAGGAAGTGCGGATGTCCAGAAAAGGACCGAGGAGACGATCGAGCCGGTGAACTTCCACTCGATGCCCCTGAACTTGTACAGGGAGATCCTGGAGGTGGATACAAAGCCGAATGCCATCCTTGACTGGACTGTGGGGGACTCTCAGTTCGCTACCGTGGCTCTTGAGTGTCAGATCTCTTACGTGGGGGCCTGCTTCTCCGAGACTCACCAAAATGAGGTCTACGAGCGCTTGACTGCCTTGACTCTCAAGAAAATGCAGACCGAGGGCTCCGGCATGCTGTACCGACCGTATTTGGCAGAGCTGCTTTCCGGCAGCACGCAGAGGATTGGGGGTGGTGGGACAGAGACCACCTCAGGCTCAGGCCGTGGCGGACGTGGCCGAGGAGGGCGTGGGCGAGGCCGACCTCCAGCACCAGATAATGGCAGTGGTGACGGCAACAATAACAGTGGTACTGTTGCCGGTACCGGCAATGGCAGCGGTACCACCGGCAATGGCAGTGACTTGGAAGCTGCTTTAGCAGCCAGGATCGAAGCGTTGCGCAGGGAAGGTGCTTCTGCTGATGCTGCTTGATGATGCAGCTTTGGATTCTGCGACAGGAAGCCGAAAGTATGATTTCGGTTCGGAGACAGTCTCAGCTGTCGTTTTTGATTTTGATTAGGCTGACAGATGAAGACAAGCCGGATGTCCTGCCGAGAACTCTTAAGTCTTCCGTACCTCTGAGATTGGAAGAAATAGAATAATAATGAATCATTCAGGAGCAGGAAGCAGAGCTCGAAAGTGCACTCTTTTGTTCGGTGATCTGCTCCCCACGTGGCCCTGTAAGCGGTCTGGTTTTCCATTTCACAGGGGATGCATCAACACTGAGCCGATGTCTGGACCCAGCGCTTGGAGCAGGAAATGCCTTCGCTTCGTTAGTTAGTGCTTTTGTGTCAGCGTATGCGCCTTTGACTTGGATATCGGCAGGCGATGGCTGGATCTTTTCATGAAGCAGCCGGGTCCTAAGCGATGTGCCAATCCTGAGCCGATGTCTGGACCCAGCGCTTGGAGTAGGAAATGCCTTCGCTTCGTTAGTTAGTGCTTCTGTGTCAGCGTATGCGCCTTTGACTTGGATATCGGCAGGCGATGGCTGGATCTTTTCGTGAAGCAGCCGTGTCCTAAGCGATGTGCCAATCCTGAGCCGATGTCTGGACCCAGCGCTTGGAGCAGGAAA